GCTCATTAAAGAATCAGTGTCCAAGGCTTTAATTGGAGATTGATCAGATAAGCACCCTCTGCCTAGCATTGACCCAAACTCTAGATTCCCAGAAGAAAAGCAGGTGCTCACTATAAGCCTTTCTATTTGCACAAAAGTTCAGTTATATTGAACCACTTTTATCAGGGTGATGGGAACCCTCCTGAAATCTAAGGTCCCAGGTGCCAGCTAATGCACAACCTTGCAAGAAGGCCTTTCTAAGGATGGCAGTCTCAGGCCTGGTATGTGAACTATTTTTCTGAACACACGTATATGCACACTTGTTAGGCAGAAAGACAGAAGTGAGCAGGTGCAGGGAGAATAAGGCTAGTGAAGCCCCTTAAAAGGGACTCAAAGAGTTAACCAGATAAAACCAGAGAGCCAGAAAGGACTCACAGAGTTAATTAATAGAAGTTTCAAAGGCCAGGAGTGACTTGGAGCATCTGGATATTGCCCAGATAAAGAAAAGTATCAGCACACACAGCCCACATCTTCATTGTACCAATTAAATCATGCCATTGTAAAATCTACTTAGCCTGTAAAAAAGGCCCTGCTATTCTCACTTTGATTAATTATTTCCTTATTCAACTTAATCTATATGCTGTTCTTCCTCTTCTTCCAGCCCCTTCATCAAGTAGCTTTATAACCCGAACAGGAGATAGACCTCCAAAGTGTAAATAAATTTATGTGCATAAAGAATGCCGAGATCCAGACCAACAGAGTCACCTAAACAACCCTATTCTTAAGACAAAACTTCAAAGGAATTCTAAACCACCTGTATACATCACACTTTGTGGGGACCCTTACCCACAAAGCCCTATAAACCCCAAGCCCTAAACCCTTAAGCACGCCTCCTCCCTGAGGTTGCCCACACTCCCTTTTCTTCACGTGTGTCACTCTCTGTTCTACTCCAGATAAGCAGGGAGGAGCTAATGAGAGATCTGACTTAGACTTGCAAGTTCCTGTGTGGGTGATCTGGACAGAAACTATACTGCAGCAATACATTCGAGCTCTTTAGCAGCCTGTCTGAATCTCTTCTCTTTGTCTTTGGGAAGTTCTCAGAACATAATCTCACTCCATCTAGTGCTCTGAGGCTCCCTGAAATCCTGAAGTGGTAGGGACTTAGTTGCCATGCTGGGCAGATCCAAGCAGACACTAGATGTCAGGTGACCCTGGCTTTAGGAGTTGGCAAGTGATTTGCCCTTGATGGGCAGGAGTTCAATAAGCTTCCCTTTCCTCCCTCTGGTTTTCCTTGCTCTCTGCTGCCTGCAAGGCCGAGGCCATTCCCTGCTATTCTCACTTTAATGAATTATTTCCTTATCTGTCTTTCTGACTTGCCTGCATCATCAAACTGAATTTCTTATTCAAAACAATCTTTACAATACAATAACCATACCTACTAATAAAGGTGGGCCAATAACAATTTGACACTCTCTTCAATCAAATTAATACTCTCTATTCTTGAGGTGTAAGAAAGAAAAAGATAAGAAGTGAAGCAAAGCAAGATGGCGAAGCATCTCTCTCTGCTGTAGAAAAGTTACTCCAACTTAGTTCAAAACCAGTAACAAGTGAAGAATAGAGACTAAATCCACATAGAAGCACAGAATCTTCATCCTAGTCACCATACCCAGGAAAAGTAGATACAGTCAAGCCTTGTTATTCATGGGTTTTCTTATTTGCAAATCACCTACTTGCTATATTATTTTTATAACTCAGAATCCATATTCATTGCACGTCCACAGTCATTTGCAGATGTGTGGATCAATGAAAAATTTGAGTCATTTGAGGTCCATGTTCCCAGCTGATGTCAAATAAGGTGCCACTCTGCCTTGTTTCAGCTTTAATACTGTAATCACATGTCTGTTTCATGGTCTATTTAGTGTCACATTTTTTTGCATATTTGTGCTTTAAGTCATTTAGCTTTTTAAAAGGCGATTTCACTATTAAGAAGGCCTCTCAGCGTAATGAAGCCCTGTCTAATGTCCTCGAGTGCAGTATGGCCATGATGTGCCTTACGGAGAACATATGTATGTTCACCAAGCTTCATTCAAACATGAGCTATAGGGCTACTGACCATGAGTTCAATGTGAATAAACCAACTACGTATATATATATATTAAATAAGGTGTTTTTCAACAGAAGCACACATAAACAAGGCTGTATATTGATCAGCTGATAAAAAAAGTATTGTGATTAGAGGATTACAAAAACACAGCTGAAAACAATGATTCAGTATTCACTAATTCAGTATGTCTGGGGCATCTTTACAGAACAAAACAACCAGAAAAAAAAACAAGATTCAACTGTATCTAGAATGTCACTTCTTACGTGAAAAATCCCAACAACTCTCTATCTATAAATCTACCATCAAGATACCTGGTTTTATAGTATGATGGGCAGCTCAGTCAGAGGGGTCATGACTGGGCTGTGCCTGAAGAACTCCCCCAAGCCATGAGACAAAGGAAAACTCAGAACCAAGGATTACTATCCTTAATTCAGGGCCTGACTGGGAAACAGAATCATACTCTGGGTTAATCCAAAGACCCACACAAATAGGCTATGCTAAGTGTAGCATAGGACCTGGGGGCGCTAAAGTCTATAGGCGAGTTAGGAAACAACAAAAACTCATGCCTGAGGGTCCTGATAAAGGTTCCAGGTTAAAAGTAGGTTCAAGGAAACAGGTGAGGAATGCAGTGTACCTTAGACAATTAAAATGGGAAGTTGTAGTCAGAGCACAACTGCAGAGTATGGCTGTGGCTCCCTGGGCTCTGCCAGCGGATCTAATTTGGAGCACCCTTCCCATTATTGACAGATAGGGGTTAAAGGTTAGGGGCAAAAGCTCCAAAAGGCAAAGCTTAATAAAGCCTACACAGTTATAACACATTACTAGGCATATTGTTTCCATCTGCTTTGGAAGACCAAAACAAAATTGTTTTTTGGTTTTTGGGGTTTTTTTTGTTTTTTTTCCCCCAAGTATCCCATGAGATTCGAAATAAACAATTAACCACTTATCACCACCATCATAAAAGAAACCCAAGGCAAATGGACAGCTATTTAAAAAACTTGAAGTCTGAATTTGTTTACTAATACAAACCTCCCACCAAAGCTTTTTGTCAGATCAAATCCTAAATTGAATTTCAATTAGCAACCACCTTGTCAAAATACATGTAAGGTAACTTTGAAATCTGTTACAAGGAACAGTCACTCTAAGTCAAAAAAGTATTTTTTACACAATACCTTGGATCTGTATTTGAAATGCAAAACCAAGCTTTAGATGTTTGTTTATATCTCGTAGTTGATGACACATTTATCAGCACGCTGCAAACAGGCCCTCTGCAACACAAGCCACTTAAAAAGATATCATTACCTAATAAAAAGTCTGATAAGAAACCCTTACTACCACACATTTTCATATTTTTGAGATCAGGCAATCACATTCTTAGCAGCAGGGTAATCAATATGAATAAAAAAAGGAAAGGCATTGTAGAGGAACTTTTAATCTGCAGAACTGAGATTTGCATCAAAGTCTCCTTGATTTGAGCACCCCCCCTCCCTCAGCCCCCACTCCTACCAAAACATTTTTTCCCAAGTATCTTTTGCGTTCTTTGCTCACTGTCTGCTGCTGATGAGTAATTTTACAACATTAATGCTATTAAAGCATGTGCTCATGACCCCATTGTGACACAAAGCAAGTAATGCACATAGAGAATGCAAGCCCTTAACTGCTAATCTTGCCTTTTAAATGCATTTGAACTTGACCTATGGAAATGACCATTACAGAATGCATGACAGCTTGGCAAAATACAGAAGGCAAGATGCCATCTCAGGAAAGCATATTCTTTGGAAATAAATCACTTGAAGGACTGCAACGTGATAGGAATTGATTGCTAACAATAAGATACGACATATTGAAGTTAGCTGCTTAAACCAGACGAACAAGTCACCACTTCTAAAGGCTCTATAAATTAAAGCACTGGCTTCGGATTTGACTCATGAATGACTTTTGGATTAGAAAAGACAATGAATAACAATTTAATGTAAAGAACTTGCATGTAGAAACATAGGTAGCATAATGTTTTTCACTCTGAAATAAATCCCTTTCATCCTGCTAATGCCGGAAGGCTTTCCAATTTGTTTACATTTCTAGACATAGGAACTAAAAGTGACCATGATCATGTATACTGAAGCATTTTACTCATCCAATCCACTACCAAGCTACAGGTTCACAGCCCACACAGAAACACAATGGGATGAATGTTCACAGAAAATTCTGGCATACGTTTTTCTGAAGGGGAAATCACACAGCTCGTTTTCAGATGGTGCTGGAACACAGGTCTCTAAAGAGCTTGTTGCAAACTGTTCATATCCCACCTGTGTAAATGTCATACAAACCTGTGAATTTTTCTATTATTACTGTTTATTTTGTATAATTCACGGGTTTCAAAAAAGGGAGATGGTGGTATACGGGGAAAAATACAGTAGCAGACGCGGCCCCCCTTCCAGCTTGGGATATGTGACGCCCAGTGGATACCTGAAACCTCGTGTAGTACCAAACACTACATACACATTTTTTCTTACACGTACACACCTAATTTAACAGCAATAACAATATGCTGTAATAAAACATGTGAATGCAGTCTCTCAAAGTATCTTACTGTACTGTACTCACCCTTCTTGTGACGATGTGAGATAACACGCCTACGTGTAAGAGGAAGTGTGGTGAATGATGTAGGTGTCCTGACGTAGCCTGACGCTTTTACGTATAGACCTTCTGACGCAGCGTCAGCAGAATCATCTGCTTCCGGACCTCAGCCGCCGTGAGGTAAAACTGAAACCTCCGAAAGTAAAAGGGCAAATTCGGAGGGACAACCCTCAACAAACTCTTTGAGCAGGACTATTTGGGTGCGACTATTTACAGAATAGTTGGTGTTTAGGTACAATTAAAATCCTCGGTGATCGAGTATAAAACCATTTGGACTTCATAATGAACATTATACTTTATTTTCTGTGCAGTAAAGTATTAAATTTTGACACTTTAAAATTAAGTAAATATTACAATCTTTTATGGGCACAATTATGAAATTTGAGAATAATACAAAACACCAAACAAACCAAAAATAAACCCCAAATTCCAAACCCAGCTTATTAAATTTAGAAATTAGAATTCTCAGTTTCCCAATTATACATCCTGTTGACATGAAAGTTCCAAGAAGCTTAAAATTAGACCACTTGGAAAGCTTTTCAAAGGGACATTTCTTAAATGTTACCTGTTAATATCTTCACAAGTGAGACTAATCTGATCATTTGGTCTTTCCTTAGGACTGAAAACAACCCTGGCCAGTTCTCAAAATCCTGGAATGACTTCTTGATTATTACTGCCAAAGGTGCACAACTGGTTTACAATGTGAGGAATTTTAAGTATATTTGTCCAACGTTTAGTTGTCTAGCTTTTAAACACTACATCATGTTCAAAAACAATGGTTTCTACAAACATGCTATGACTTTACAATAAAATTACATATAAAAATAAATTTTTCCAATTCTTCACAAGTATTGAATTTGAGTTAGTCCTTCCTCTCCAGCACTACAATATTTCCCCCAGACACAAAGCTACCACCTCTGAATGCTTATTATGAAAGTTGGAAAGCATCATTACATATGTCTGCAGAATGTTGTTTTTATTCAGGCATTTTATTCAGACATTCCTTCCAATTCACCATAAAAAAGGCTGTTTTTCTCTCTCACACACACACATAATTTAAATACAAACAGCTACAAAATAATGTGACCTTTGATGAAAAGACATAATGTGAAGTAGTTTTGGTAAGAGTCAAGAAATAAATTCATTTTTTCCATCTAGGAAAAATAGAGCTACAATGCAGTGTTCTCTTTTGTAGAATTTTAAAGAATTATTTCTAGTTCTAAGATACAGGCCTTAGTTTTAATAGTATGGTGTCTTATGAACACCTGATTTTTCCTCCATCAGACCTTAAATAAGCAGGATAAATTATATTACGCTGGAGCAATTCCTAGCTTGATTGTCACAGATCTATACAGCTATCTCTAGAGGCACTGGGCCTGACCAAAACTAGTTCAGAGGAATTCAGAAGGCAGTTACACTGGACATGACAGGGGACTTCGTTTATGGCAATCTCAGAAGAACAAAGACACACAGTGGTGTGCTTTGCTCCTGGGTAGTTCTCTACTTGCCCAGAGGACACAATTAAATACTAACTCTTTCAGTTACAATGGACTGTGACTCATAAAAGCCTATGTTTTTACTTCCTCAGAACAGTGTTTTATTTTTACTCTGTTATCAACAACCCAAGTAAGGAAGATGTGTCCAGGAAATTTCTTTCTTCACCATTCTGTTTCTCCTCACCCCTACATTTTTGCGCCAGTACATCCGTGTAACAGGGACGCAGGCAGAGGTAGATATTATACCCATTTTTATGTATGTGGCCCAATACTTTCCAGGGATAAAAGCCGCAAGTCTTCTGATTACTAATCCAGGATCCTGTTCACTCTGCGCACTGGAGGTGGCTGGATAAAATGACACCCTTAAACTCTCTGGGTGGAACAGAACTTCAGCCAACCAATCCCACTTTCTAAAGTGATTTCTGCTTTTCCCAACTCTGAATTGGAATCAAATATTAATGGAGAGAGAAGAAAATAAAGTATACTGCTAATGGCATCTGATAAGCCATCATCATCTTTAAATAAGCATATAACTGCACCTGGTGGGTACCCAATTATGTGGTTAAAGATGCCAAGCTGGCTCAAGAGCTGCTATGTTCTCAACTGAATAGTTCCTGGGAGTCTGGAGGATCAACTGTGCAGGATGTCTGATCACAGAGCACGGGGTGCAACCCAGAGCACGTCCCACTTCCGACCTGTGTGGTAAGGTATCTGACATTCCTTTAAAGCTCAGCTGGAGAGGAAAACCTAGCATTCGCCCTAGCCAATGTATTGGCAGCCCTACATTTTTTAGCAGACAAGTAAGGCCCTTATTTTATATACTGTGGAGATTTCTCACCACTAAAATGAATTACATCGTCATTTTAAATTGATAACTAGTTTCAAATGAATGAGCTGATATAGGTGAACAGATACACTATTATGATACAAGAGGGAATGTTTCTCAGTGTCTGCATATTTTAAAGAGGGTTTCATTCTCTGGGTGGAAGGATAAGAGTTGTGACCTTGCAGCAACGGAATTTGAATGTGCTGTGTATGCAGTTGAAGAAATTCATGGCAGCCTCTCCTTTATAGCTACATATATTAGGGCATTTACGTATTGCTGGTTCTCATCTAAATGTCGGGGTTCTCTCTAGGTCACCCAGGAGCTCATCAAAGCTCTAATTCTTGCAAAAGCCAGATACAATTCAGATCAAAGTAAAGCTCCTACTAAAATTCTAGTGGCAATGAAAATGTGAAAGGACCCCCAAAAATAAACCAAATTGACATTTTCCCAAACCACAGTAATAGCCAGTTTTGCCACACACGTGAGCATCTATTGAGTTATGAAAAAGAGTTATCATGCCCTGATGTGTTAAGTCATTTTTCTTTCTGTGACTGCTTTCTTTTTCTTTCTAGTTTTACTCCTTTGAGGCATGTTTTGCCCTTAACAATTCTTAAATTGTAGTTTAACACTGCATGATGATGACTGGTGATTCTGCTACAATGTAAAACAAAAGACATCTGGTTTTAGACTCTATGAACAAGAATATAAAAATTCTTGCACAGGAAAAAATAAAAGTTCTGCATATTCACTTAAAAAAATTACTGGTCCCTGTTCTAAAGTGACATTGCTTAACTCTCTGCTAATTTTAAATGATTCACATGGCCTTTCTTTTCCTTCTTAATGGACCTTTCTTTGCTAAGCATTGGAAGTCTCCTGCTTCTTTTCTTTGGGAAACTTTGTCTAGCTAGCTTTTGCAGCTCTGTCCTTTGAGAATACCACAGAATGGAATAAAGACATTGGGGTAATGGAGTGGAGATTTAGACAGAAGGAAGCAGTTTCATTGTTTCATGGTGATTGAAGTAAATGCTCATCATGCTTGAATTCATTTAGTTCTTGTCTCACTAGTTTACAAAAAGCTGATTCTTTTCTCCTGAACAAGAATAAGGTTACGGTCATGTGGGTAGAGAACAATAATCATTTGTTTTAATATCAACATTTCCCTGGGTGGTTAGAAAGCTGTAAAGTCATGACTTTTCCCTATGAATCTAAATTTTAAAAATTAAATACTAGCATTTCCTAGAAACTATACTATTATGTATGTCGCCAGTACAAAGTTCTGGAGAACATACAACTGTTTCTGGAAATAGGTTTTAATAGGCAAAACACATAAAACTCACAAATTTAGAGCCCCCAGATATATAGGAAGAATAGAGTAAGTTTTGGCATCTGAATCTGGAATTAACACTCAGTATTTTATTTCCCACAAAACACAAAATGGAGTGTATAGGAGACCGAAACTAACAGGCCAAGATGCATCTGTTAGCTGTGCACGTCACAGGGAGGGGGAGCGCCTTCGGTGGCAGAGCTTAGGAAAACGCTGAACTTGCTCAGCTCTGCAGCACATTCAGTGGGTGACTTGAAGCAAGTTAACATGTCCCTTTGGGCCTCAGTGTCCTTAACTGCAAAATAAGAGTACTTCACTAACTTGAGCACTTCATGTTTCTATACTGTAACTGGATATGAAAGTGTCCTGAATAGCACAAGAAAAGGGAACTGTGTATCATAAGTAGCACTTAAAAATGTATCTATCTCATTAGTTTGTTTAGAAAAATCACTGCTCAACTGAGTTAACCTTAAGGGAAAAATTTTTGTTTTAATTTTTTCTCTTTAATATAATAAACGTTCTTCAGCAACACCGTTATCTATTGATGACAATGGCCCATTTGCCTCTAACAAGCCTCTTTAACAATGCCTTATACTACGAATGCTTCAACTAAACACTGATTGGGGGAGGGGTATAAATAACAAGGATATAATTATATCAATTCACCCATGCTTTATCGATATTGCTTTTATTCCTTTGTTTTAAGTACCTGTGCTATCACAAGCACCCACCTGGCATTTTAAGTCCCTAACCGAAGAAAAGAAAAACCAATTGTTTCATTTTAAACATGCATTAGAAAGAAAAAAGCAAATGAAGCTCCAAATGTGTGTATGGTGTATAAACACATGTGTATGTGTTTGAATCTGAGTCTTTTATTATTATTGATATATAAAATCACAGCCTTCCCTTACATAAAGCAGGAGACCCAAGATTAACTGATGGAAAATTCTATTGGATTGTTTGAGGGCATATAGAGAGAACTTATTTTCCTTTATCCATAGGGTTAATTTCTCAATATAATCCTACAAAAGTTTGAGTTTTTTCCAAAATATGTGCAAGAAAGGTATCAGCAGAAAGACCTACAGTCATGATTATTTTGTTCAGAAGTTCTAAGCTGGGGTCCTTACTTTTGAAAATTATTTGTGGGCCCCCAAAAGTATATGTAATATTCTATATGTATGGCATAATATTCATTTGTAATCAGGTTCCCAAAAAAGATTAATAACTATCTAGTCCAAATGAGAAATCTCAATTCCAGATTGAGAAGCAATTTGCCATAGTCATACCATTAGCCATGTGACAACCAAAAACAATTTAAAGAGGACATTGGTAGTCCCAGGACTCAAATTCATAAGGCTGCACGTGCTAGCATGCACCCTAATAGATTATGTTTCTTAAACTTGCAACATCTTGTGAAGAAACTCTGCTTGCTTTATTTGTTACAAGGTAAAGTGAGCTTATAGAGATTTCAAGGATACCATTTCAATTTTAATATTTATTGCCACTAAAATGATTGATTTAAGACCTGTGTGACAAGAAATAGCCCAGAGAAAGAATCCCTCAAAACAAAGCAAAGCTCTACTACATGCATGGTGAAGCCCTAATTTCATTCCTACATAAAGAAGCAAAAATTACCTAAAAAGTAATCATTCTTCTTCTAAAAAATCTTCCACTTATTTTACTGAAATTAGATTTATTAATATAATCACTTAAATAATTTTCAGTAAAGAGTATTGCACATCAAGCCTGTACTATTCAAGCTTCTTTTCACAAGTTCTTTCCATTAGGTTTTTATGAAAATTCTTTTTAATTTAGAAAGTGTTAACCAAAACATACTGTTTATTAAATGTATCTTCAGAGCTAAATCTTCAGGAACATTGTACATTCCCCCAATATTTTTCTGACTCACCTTCTTCCACAGAAGGGAGAAGAAAGAATTCCAAGAGGAAGAAGAAATATCTAAATGCTACATGTTTATGTGCATTCAACACTAGATAGTTTAACATACTTGACTGCTATTGTGAATCACAGCAAAAAGTGACAGGAGCATCTATCATGTATGTTATATCATGCAAAATTTTAACAAAGGCAAGATGAGTCATTCTGTTTACTTCAGAAAAGTGCTATATTTGATAGCAATTGATAGATATCTATAAAACAAAATCACTAAACTGTAAAAATGCCTTAATTTTTAAGGTAGTGAAGTTTTTCCTTTTGAGCCAAGAATATATTGGAGAACAAGCATATAGGATCACACAGTGTAGTCCCAAAAGGGACTTTATACTAAAAAATGCCCTATGAAGACCCAGAATACCAGACAGTGAAACAATAATATTCTTGATTCTGAACTTTAATTTAAATAACTAATGATATATTTCCTCTTACATAGAAAGTAGAGTACAGGTTTTCTGTTCAGTAATGTGACTATAGTTTCAATGTCACCAGCATAAACTAATGTGTGATAAAAGAGAGAGATCTTATACGTCAGTGACCACTGACAGACACAATGCTCTCTGGTCTCAAAGTGCAAATTAAACTAAGTACCTTAAGAGGCTAAAAACCAAGACAAACTATGCTGGGGATACAAGTAAATAGAAATAATAAATGTCAAAATGCTGAAAAAGTTATTAGTCTATATATCCCTTCATAATTTACAGTAATGATATTTTCCTTATTACTATGCAACAGTAATAGACTGGGGATGAAAAGGACTGTTGAATCATTGTGTCTAAGGCATGCCAAGGGAGGGCAGATTTCCTTAGAGGAAAAAAGGAAGAAAAATATAAAAATAGATACTACATAGACATCTACAAAAGGTTCATTCAGCACAAAGTCTACAGACATCAAATAGAGGTACTGGCATCAGTAGTGAGGAAGTTCAGATACAAAGTACCCGTATCAATACAGTCTTATGCTAAATCTTCAAATGTCTAATATATTTGCCTGGAGCTTTTCTAAATCAAAGTAACTCTGTATATACTCACATAGAAAATGTAATCCGAGTTTCAATGAATTCTTAATTTCACTCACTCTTGCATTTGTTCAACCAGAAACAATTTAAAGAGGACGGAGGCTATCAGCCCCACACTGAGCAAGTGTATCTCCTCACTAGGGAGTTCTTGAATCTGCCATAAAAATCAACAGTGTGCATCTAATAGCTTACTTTTAATTTGAGCATTGAAAAGTGAATCATCCACATCAAATATTCTTCAAGTCCTCTTTGGTTTCCAGATTAAACATGTAATGTGATCTGTCATCTTGCCACATTTTCTGCATTTCTGTTTTAAATAATTATAAATAAGAAAACCTTGCTATTCTTTGGCATGATAGAGCTGTTTGATTCAGCTGAGTTTCAAAGTCTTAGAAATTGCACTCATTCCTTCTTTAGGGTCCTGGTTCATCTCACAGGTTTTCAGCTGAAAGATTCTTTGTTGTATTCAAATCTTGTCCCATATGAGTTGTTTTGGTTACTCAGTTTATGAAGAGTCTTAGAAATGGAATTGGGTCCACAGCAAAAAACACCAACTGTTTTTCTGAGGAGAAAATGGAAATTCAGGTAGAAAATTAGCCAGAAAATGACAAGAAATATGCTCTATGAACATGTCTAAGGTATTAATGAAGCTAATTTCTTGCTGCTTTGTGTACTTACGTTAATTGTTCAATTATTCCCAAATGTAAATGATTACCAGGAAGATCTTCTACTTATCTCATGCTTTTATACTAGAATTCAGAACAATTCAAATGTAACTGAGCACGTATTTGCTTATTATCAGACAGAGAATGAACAGTCTGCCTTAGCCTTTTTCAATACATGCCACTGGTAAGGGCAGAAACCAAATCAAGAGCAGAAACTACTAGAGGTTGAACCACTCTAGATTATGTCAGTCCTTTCATACAGGATGTTTTAGATATAATTTTTTCCTAAAAATCCCATAGTGTTGCATGGACAGTGATGAATAAGAGAAGAAATCAATTTGAAAGGATAATTGTTAAGTGACTAATTTATATCTACATTGAAACCCAAAGCATATTAAGATGGATACATTTTCTATGTTATTTATGCACTGCAATAATTGTAATAAATACCAAGTAGGTTTTATTATTCACTAACATAAAATTTTAGTATATAAACATATCCCTAACAAATAGACTCAATAAATCTCAGGAAATGACTAGTTTTTCACATTGATCTTCCTCCAAAGTTTGTTGATTTGCATTGAATTCTTCCTAGGATATCAAAATGATTAACAATTTATATCATACCATGGACAAATACTGTATGTCCTTATTATCTGAGAATAATTGGTGTTGAAACAAAGACAGTTAATCCAATTAAATGGGCACCAAATTTTTATAATACTGAAAATACACTGTTTTGAAAACTTTTCACCTTGAAAAATGAAACAAAGTCCTGCAAAGATAAAACTGACTTGCAGCCATGATGGAGTAATGGGGACGAGATTTACCTACTTGCATTAAAAAAATTAGGGGAAAAAAAATAAGTATATGAAACAAGTTTTTTAGATACTGGATAATAGGCAGAACAGAACAGTGATCTCGGAGAAATAAAGAAAAAAAAAGGTAAATCCAGCAACTGTTTTAGCTTATTGCCTGGAGCTAATCTACAGGCTGCTGCATAAAAGGGGGAAACTCATGCAGAGACTGGCAGTCTCACTGTGTTGAAGAGACGAAGAATGGAGCTGATGAAGGCCAAAGCAGCTAGAATTTGTGGAGCAGAATATGGAAAGGAAGAGACTTGCACAGAAGGAAGCTCTGGAGATAGGTAGAGGGGTATTGTCAAGTCTTACACCGAGTACTGATTTTCTCATGGGTGAGAGGAAACCCCAGGAATCTAGGTAAAGAACTACCAGGAAGCAGTAAACCAAACAATTCTGAGATTACATGAGGTTGTGAATGATTCCTATTTCCATAAGCCAGGATGGAAAGATCCATATGTAGTATGTGGAGAATGGTTAGTATTCTACAGTTACCTTATTTGCAAGAAGTAGCATGGATGTTGGTAAAATTAGCCTTAGACTGAGGTGCTCTGGAACAAGCTTAAAAGCAAACCTTGAAAAGATCAGACTCAACTCACATAACAACTATGCATGCCAGAAACAAGTCTAAAGATATAGAGAAGAAAAAACTCAAAATTTGGCATTTAACATTTAAACTTCAAAATATACAGAATTCAATAAAAAAAATTACCAGGAATGTATAAAGCAAGAAATTATGAACTATGACTACGAGTGTTATAGCTGTGTCCCCCCCAAAATTCCTATGTTGAAACTTTAACTTCCAGTGCCTCAGAATATAGCTGTATTTGGAGATTGGGCCTTTAAAGATGTGATTACATTAAAATGAAGCTGTTAGAGAGTAATCGTACAAATCTGATTAGTGTCTTTCTAAAAGAAGAAATCTGGACATACAAAGAGACATGAGAGATGCACACACACACACACACACACACACACACACACACACACACAGAAGATTGTGAAGAGGCACTAAGGGGACAGCAATCTGCAAGCTGGGGTGGAGGGTCTCCCAGGGGTTCAACCCTGATGGCTTCTCGATCTTAAAATTTCAGCTGCCAGAGCTCTGAGAAACTTACGTGTCTGTTGCTTAATCCACCCATCTGTGGGATTTTATTATGGAAGCCCTAACAAAGTAATACAAGGAGAAAGATCAGTTAATAAAAACAGGCCAGAATGATAGAAATGATGGAGTTATCAGATATGATCATTGAAACACTGATGAGAAACATGCTTCATATATTCAAAGAGAAGCATCAACATCGTGAGAAGGGATATTTTTAAAGGCCTAAATGGAATTCTTGTGATTAAATGCAATATTTAAAGTGATAAATATACTGATGGGTTAACAGTCCATTGGCACTGCAAAAGAAAAGATAAATAAACTTGAAGATATAACACTAGAATAATCCAAATGGAAGCACATACAACAAAAACTGGAAAAATGAACAGAGACTCGGTGACCTGCGGGGCAGTATCGTCTAGTCTAACACACATGTAACTGTAGTCCCCACATGAGAAAAGACAAAGAGAAAAACATTAAAGAAATAATTGCCAATGTTTTCCCCAAAGTTAGTGAAAAAAAAAAAACACAGAAGCAAGGATCTAAAGAACCCCAAAGGAAATACACAAAGGGAACCTATAATAAAACTGAAAACCAATGACAAAGAGAAAAACATAGAAACAGCCAGAGGGGGATAAAAAAAGACAGATTACAAATTGTAAACAGAAGATGAAAGATGGACTTCTTGTCACAAACTGCAAATCAGATGGCAATGAAGTGACATCTTCAAAGTGCTTAAAGACAAAAAAAAATGTCAACTATTCTATGCCGAGCAAATTCTTTTTTTTTTAATTGCAGTATTGTTGATAGACAATCTAATCTTGGTTTCAAGTATACAACACAGTGGTTTATCAGTTACCCGTATTATTAAATCCTCACGCCAACTAGTGCAGTTACTATCTGTCAGCATAGGAAGATGTTTCAGAATCACTGGCCATATTCCCCATGCTGTACTACTATCTGCGTGACCAATTTATATTGATTGAGAATTTTGGGCCCTTTTATCCTACTTAGCCTTCCCACTTACGTACCCCAACCCAACCCCATGGTAACCACCAATCACTTCTCAGTATTTATGAGTCAACCAAGCAAATTCCATACCAAACAAAAATGACTTTCAAAAATGAAGCTGGACTATAAGCTTTTCAAACAAATATGAGAGAATTTATTGCCAGAAAACCAGCCCTATGTAAGCTATGTTAAAGGAAATTCTTCAAGAGGGAGAATGAAATCAGATGGAAATAGAATCTACCTAAAGGAATGAAGAGCACCAAAACGGTAAATCTGTGAATATATAATGTATTATTTGTCTAACATTTAATCTCTTTGAAATATAATGTAATAATGCATTATGGAGTTTATAGCATATGTAGAAGATGAATTAGAGTAGAATGACAACCTCAGAGATGGCAGAGGCATGGTGTCCTGCGGATGGGTTGCAGCCCCGGGCAAGTTCACTATGGATTCAGTGAGACCAAGGAATGACAAGGAACGTTCTTGGAGTAAAGAGGTTTTTTACCTGGCTTGTTCTCCCAGAGATAGGTCAAACACTAGAATTATGTCTGCATCCAATGGTCTGCAGGTCTGTAATTCTTCATCTCTGCCTCCGCCCGAGCATGGGCAGAGCTCATTATATAGTGACTTATTGTCTAAGGGTGTGGCAGCAGTAGCCTAGGACTAGGCTAGTTACATCATCAAGTAGTTTAGGTTCAGATGAGGATCCTGGCCATAGGAACTTCAATTTTCCCCACACATGGAAGTACATAAAGTGGTATAATATTCTGTGAAGTATACTGTGACAAGCTAATGAGGTACACTGTAAGCCTAAAACAACGTTTCTTCTATTTCAGCCTTATCAGAATCACTTCACACAAGGCAGATAGCTGGTATCTGAGAGCCACTGATTCAGCAGGTGTTGGAAAGGGCTTAAGAATCTGCTTTTCTAACAAGTTTTCAGGTGATGCTCATCTAAGGATTGCAGTTTGGGAACTGATGCCTTAAACAAATCAATAAAAACAGTGAAGTATGACTAATAGGAGAAAAAAAAAACAGTAAACTGCTAGACTTAAACCCAATCAGAAGGAGCCAAGAATACTCAGTGAGGAAACAAATAGTCTCTTCAATAAGTGGTGTTAGGAAAACTGGATATTCATATGGAAAACAATGAAACCGGAATCCAATCTCACACCACTTACAAAAATTAATTTGGAACAAATTAAAGACTTAAATGTAAGACCCAAAATCATCAAACTTTTAGAAGAGAACATAGAAAAAGAGCTCCTTGACATTGGTCTTGGCAATGATTTCATAGATGAGATACCAAAAGTACAAGCAATAAAAGCAAAAATAAACAAGTGTGACTATATCAAATTAAAGTTTCAGAGCAAAAGAGGCAATTAACAAAATGAAAGACCTATGGAATGGAGAAAATAATTGCAAACTATGCATTTGATAAGGGGTTAATATCCAACATATATAAGGAACATATACAACTCAATAGCAAAAAAGAAAAGAAAAGAAGAATTCAATTAAAAAATGGTTAAAGGACCTGAATAGATATTTTTCCAAAAAAGATATTCAAATAGCCAACAAATACATGACAAGGTACTCAACATCACTAATCACCCAGGGAAATGCAAATCAAAACCACAATGAGATTATCACCTCACACCTGTTAAAATGGCTATCATCAAAAAGAAAAGAGTTAAGTCTTGGGAAGGATGTGGAGAAAGGGGAACACTTGTGCCATACTGGTGAGAATGTAAATTGATACAATCACTATGGAAAACTGTAGAGAAGTCCCTAAAAAAATTAAAAATAGAAGTAACACAGGGTCCTACAATTTCTCTTCTGGGTATATCTCCAAAGGAAATCAGTATCTCAGAGGGATAGCTGCATCCCCATGTTCATTACAGCATTATTTACAATAGCTAAG